ATCAAGGGGTTCCCTTGCCTTTGGCCAATAGGAGTCCTGATGGGAAATTAAAGAGTGGGAGGAGAATGAAGTTACAGTATTTATTCCTCCAGCTTTCCTCCTGCTGGGTCACCATGTTGCGTGTGTCCCCCTGTTGAAAGCCACAGCTCTTTTCCGGGCTCTTTTAGGCCTCTGGGTGGCAATGGCTCCCACGTTTATGAGCCCTGGAGGACTGCACTACCCCTCATTGGTTGCCCCGAATCCTGATAATCATGCCTTTGTAAAGAGCCCCTGGAGTGAGCCTTTCTCAAATTACCTAATTCGACCAAGCTGCATGTTTCCACTGGGACCCAGACTGATTCTCTACAGAATGCCTCATTTTCGATTCTGTATTCTCTAGTCCCTGCCTGTGTAACCCACCTGTGTAACCTTGGGAAACCTGAACTCATATCTGGGCCTGAGTTTCGTAACATACAAAATGAGATGCTTTGAGATGGAAGGATCTTTCCAGATCTCATGTTCTTGAAATGAGAGACATTTTATATCCAAAGTATACTCTACAAGCAAGCATGATATCTAGCACACATGAGGTGCTCAACATTTAATGAATGATAAAGTCTAAAGCTATGTATCTTTCCCTATTTATATCCACTAAAAAATGTGCTTCAGGAAAAGAAAATGCCAAAGAAGCTGTATGTTTAAGTACATAGAGAGTGAGCGTTATGATTACCTTTTCACCGTGATTGAAAATAATACAATATTTGATGCTTCTCTGAACATTTAAGACTCCATGGAGGCCGCGCAGTGGGTGGAAGGACCATAGGCGCTGCAGACAGGCTTTGTTTATTAAATTAACTTTACAACACATCATCTTGAGCTGCCTTTATGAAGACATCATGTAATTGGGAGTAGACCGATCTGTTCAGAGTGTGCCAGGGAAACTAAATTTTCAGGAGACGCTCTTACAGTCGGAGGCTCTCTCCATAGTCTTGCTTCTATGGCCAGTATTAACCCCAGAAATACTGCTCCTGAGAAACAGTTCTAAGCCACAAGGCTGCTTCAAGTCAGAACAGAAAGTGGGCTCCTGGTTCAAACTCTTCCCTATTCTTTTTCTCTTCTGTCTGGCTTGAACCTTGGTCCATGACCAGAGACACACACTCTCTTTCAACATGTAACCTCTTGCTGGCTTGGACTTCTGTACTTTAAATCCTAATGTACCCCCGGGTCATGGATCTGCCTATGCTACAAGGATGATCAGGCTCAGACTATCGACAACTGATTAAAAGCACAGGCTTTTGTGTCTCTGTACTTAACCATCAATTTTCTAAAAAGTATGTTTTTAAGTCAGTTTCCTTTCTGTAAATATTTCACGCTACTGAAATGAAGATGGTTTCTTTTCAATAGCTGATTGTCATCAGTAGTCATGCATAGAAAACTGGCATTAATTCATCACCAGAATGATTAAAATACTGGTCCAAGACCAAGAAACAGTAAGTGTTCTAAAGAGCATTGACAATAAAGAAGAAAAAAAACCTTTAGATTTCAAAACAAATTACTCTTAACTCTAACTGGAAGATACAAGGAACACCAACTCTTCTCAGAAGTGTTCTCTTTAGGCCTGCCCTCTCCACGAGTCACAGAAGTTCTGCCTCTTGGCCATGGACAAAGCCACAGCGATGATTAAGCACTGATGGTTTTTCCTAAAACATTCCTGCAATCCTCACTTCTCTTTAAACCAGGTAGGTTTCTCTTTTCACTGTTTTTTAATCGGGGTAAAAATCCACATAACATAAAAGTGACCATTTTAGCTATTTTTGAGTGTACAGTTCAGTGCCGTCAGTACAATCATACTGTTGTGCAGCTTTCGTCACTGTCCATCTGGAGGTCTTTGTCATCATCCCGTACTGAAATGCTATCCCTATACACAATACCTCCCATTCTCTTCTTCCCCTGCCCTCTGCTCCTGGGAACGCAGAAAAGAAGCGGAGACGATCACAGCCAGAGAGCACAGGCAGGCTGCTATGCAGACACTGGGAAAAGAGGAGAGTCCGGCACTTTCCAAATGATGCTTTGGAGACTGAAGTAGGAAAAGAGGCTACACACAGGTTTTCTACTAACGACCTCCAGGTCCTCTGATTCTGGACGTCAATGCGCTCTCCTGAGGATGCACAGAACTTCACCTACTTTTCTGGGCGCTCAGCAGCATCCTGTACCACTAGGGGTCCCAGCAGCATTGCCACGAGACACTCTATACCA